ATGAAGGCCAGATAATGTAGGCTACACGATCAGAAGACAATCACATCAAAGTGACAAAGTTCACATATAGAAAATAATTTAGCCTGATAAATGATCACACTACTAATGAAAATATATGAAAAGCAATTGCGACTGCAGGAATAGCATTTTAAAAGTTCAGCCTTGTGTTCTTTGTCCTTTTTTCTGCCACAGGGCCACCCATCAGGAAAGCTTTCTAATTTATCTGAGAAGCTAAATACCAGTAGCTCACCACCTACAGGCACCCCCAAATCCCAAAGTGGAACTCCACGGCCAGCCTCTGCAGGTGTTGGGGGTCCGATGCATACTGCAGGGACACCATCATCAGCAGGGCACTCTGATAACGAATCCCCTCAGACCAGACCTGGCGGAGCTTCCAGCAATAACAGTATTGTCACTCATAGGTCAGAGGGAGGAAGCGTGGTAGCACTTGCTGGCGCAGACCCAGGAACTGGAAATGGGAAAGGTACAGGGGGTATGCCTCTTCCTGTTTCTAGTGTCTCTCCCTCGGGAAGTCCCTCCATCCTAGCTACACACCTACAGAGTGATACAGTACAGAGGGGTGGCCAAGGAAACGCAGATGGTCTTTCCAAAGAGCAACTGGAACACAGGGAGCGCTCTCTGCAGACGTTGAGAGACATAGAGAGGCTGCTTCTGCGCAGTGGACCAGGTGGAGGCTCTGGAGACCCTGCAAGCTCTAACAACAATGCTCTTAATAACTCATCCAATCCAAATAATAATAATCCTGATAGGGGTGGCATTCTGGAGGAAGGTAACAGTGGTACTAATAACTCTGGAAATTGTGGTAGTGGTAATATGTTATCATCAGCCTTGGCTCCAATGGGCGATATGAAGAAATATGAAGAACCCCTGCAGTCAATAATTTCTCATACACAATCCATTGGTGGACCTGCCCTTGACAGCCCTCAAATGGACTCTCATCATAACCTGCCACAACCTCCACATCACCATCTGTCACCTGGGGATGACATGGGTCCTTTACTTGGACAAGAAGGACTGACCCAAGAGCAAGTGGCCTGGAGGAAACTTCAAGAAGAATTCTACCAGGAGAAGAGGCGACAACAGGAGATGCACCCTTCTGCGCATCCCCAAAACTTTAGAATCATGAGTGACATGGGCATGCCTATGATGATGAGAGGACCCCCTCCTCCATACCACAGCAAGCCTGGAGATCAGCAATGGGGTCCTGCCAATATGATGGGAGGTGGAATGGGGGGAAATGGACGAATGATAGAAATGCAAGAGGGACCCCGTGGCCCAAGGTTTCTTGGACCGAGAGGGCCGCCTGGAGGGGGCTTCCCTGGTAGTCCAGGAGGAGTTTTATCAATGGAAGGTCTAGGACCCCACAGGCCCTCACGCCCAGGCATGATTTGGCTAGATGATATGCCTAACAATATAAGTGGTGGAAGTCCCTTCCATGGATGCTACCCTGGTGGTCCACCACAACACTTGCAAGGTGACTCAGAGCATCTGCTAACACGCGAGGAACTGTTTCGCATCATGGACAAACGGCACATGCAGGGTGCTTCCAGGTTTGAACTTGATAGATTGGCTAAACAGCAACAGCATGGCAACATGGGCTCAAGAATTATGGATAATCTTGGGGGCCCAGATCTTCCCAATTTAGGAATGGGCCGTGGTCAACCCTCCGGTCGAGGTGATCCCATGGACTTTCCTGGTTCACGTGATATTATGGGCTCTCCTGGAGGGGGTCCTCCGATGAGAGAGTTAGTAGACTCTCCTCTGGGGAGCCACATGGCAATGAACATGAACCCACAAATTCATGTTCAGCAGCAACAGCAGATGATGTCTCAGAAGCTCAGAGGAGGCCATGGAGGAGGACCTCTAGTGGAGATGTTTGGCACTGGAGATATTTCACGAATCAGGGCTTCTCAAAATGGAAGAGGAGGAAATAAAGGAATGATCCCTGGACCTGAAGGCCCTTATCAGTTTCCAAACCAAGGTCCTTTTTCTGGAGGTCAGATGGAAGGACCGTATCTTCAACAAAGTGGCCCAGAGATGTTTGGGCCTGATCATCAAGGACCTAATCAAATGGGAAGTACATTACGTCTTAGTCACATGCCGATGGGCGGAGGCCTTAGGGGTGCAGACCTTGGTTCTAGGCAAACCTCTGACCTGTCAGTAAATGTTAACCCTCTGACATCTCCTTCAGTGCCTCCTCCTCATCAACTAAAGTCTCCATCCCTCAATCAAGAGCCATCTCCTCTTATACCTTCCCCCTCTGCTCCAGGGCTGAAGTCACCATCACAGGTTTCTTCTGCTGGGCATCATCCCCCTCTTCCACCTGCATCTGGTGCTGGGACTCCTTCGTCTTCTTCCATGAAGTCTCCCCAAGTAATGGGATCTTCCAGCCTTGGGATGCACTCTCCGTCTGCCTCCCCTGCACGACTGAAGTCCCCCGCCTTGGCTTCAAACTCTCCAGGGTGGACGTCTCCTAAACCACCACTTCCGAGTCCGGGTGGTCCAGCCAGTGGAAAGATGGTGGGCAATGGAGGATGTGGTTCTACTGAACCAGGTAGACTCCAATCCAAGCTCAAAACAAACATCAGAGATGCCGTATTGGCTTCTCTGAGGTTTATGATATTCCTTGTCTTGCTGTGAGATTACTAATTTTTTTCATTGTTCTTTTTGCAGGCCAATCACTTCCCCCTAGGAGTTCAAGCTCTACCCCTATTTCCCAGCCAGGCTCAATGAATCCTAGTATGCCATTTACGTCCTCTCCCGATGTCCCAACATCTCAGAATCCATTATCTCTTATCATGTCTCAAATGTCCAAGTACGCAATTCCCAGTTCAACTCCTCTCTACCATGATGCGATCAAAACAATCGCTACTTCTGATGATGAGATGCTACCAGATCGTCCTCTTCTATCTGGTGTCAGCATCGGAGGTATGAAAATAGGGATATCATTACAGACAGAAAATACCTTTTACAGTGGTTAAACGGAGGATTTGCTTAAATTGTGCTGATGTAAGGCAATTTGTCTATGCCAATACAGGAAAAAAACATGACAAAAAGAAAGTTTAAGTATTTATATTAAAGTAGTGAGTTTTTTGAATAAAAATAATGCTCCAGTTAATACTTTGTAATTTTAATGAGTTAAGAAAACATTCATGTTTATTAACTGTTATAATATGGGTTTTTCATGTATTCATCTTGTTTTATCACCAGGAAATATGGGTAATCCCCAGACGTCACAGATTGGTCCTCACAGTGACCCCCAAAGCCCGATGGGTATTGTAAACCAAGGTCAGCAGCACCTGTCCCACGATTCCTCAGCACCTGTCCTTTCTTCCCCGAACCAAATGGGCATGTCTGCCATGAATTCTGCCATGATGGGAGGAGGAGCACCTGAGGGAATGGGGCCCTGCAATGTGTCGCCTATACCCCAGACGGCAGGGTTTCCCCGCATGCAGCCACCACCACATGGGCCCATGCACTCACCTATTGGAGGCATGTCACAGAATTTCGCTCAGTCTAATGAAGATATTCTGCCACATCAGCAGTTACATCTTCTTAACAAAGGTCATCCTCACCAACGCCCCCCTCACCCGCCAGACTCTTTTCCCTCACTTCCCATAGGTGAAGGACCTGATCTAAGTGAAGTCATACGCCCCACTCACACAGGGATTCCTGAGTTTGATCTCTCCCGCATCATTCCTTCCGATAAGCCGAGTAGCACTCTTCAGTATTTCCCTAAGAGTGAGCCACATCAGAATCCACATCAAGGGATGCCATCCCAGCAGCCACAGCAGCTCCTTAAACAGCTGTCTTCTTCTGGGCCTCCGCATAGCAGTGGCCCTTCGTCTAACCCCCACTTGGCAAGCCTACAGAATATGATGGCTGAACAGCAGCTGCCACCTCACCCCTCACATGGTGGAATACGCCAGAGCATGGTCATTCCTCAGGGGGTCTCCAGGGGTATGGTTTCTACTGGGGGCATGGGCCCCATGTGTCCCCCTGGTCATATGATGGGAAGGACAGGGCTGATGCCCCAACAGCAACTCCAGCAACAACAAGCCATGATGGCCAACAGCCTTCTCCACCATCCCTCCAATGCATATGGACCTGGCATGATGCCTTCTCAGCAGCACCAACAGAATCTGATGGCACAGCAGAATATTATGATGATGCAGGCTAAGCAGCGAAGCATGTCAATTGCAGGGGAACCCTTTGGACCCCAGGGCCCACTAATGTCCCCTCAGGGTCCCATGATGGCCCCACCTCATCCACAGTCTGGTATGATGGGCCCACAGTCTCTCAGACAGCGGGGAATGTCTCTGGACAGTTCCATTGGCTACGGTCCCGGAGGTATGACCAATATGCCATTCTGATCCAGCTCAATAAACAGTTCTTTAAAAAAAAAAAATGCGTTCACTGGGTTACCCTCCCATTGTGTCCAGAATTTTTCATTGTTATTCTTGTAGTGGTTTTGAAAAGGAGGAATTAAAAAAAAGAGAGAGCAAAAAAGGATTACAACTGATTAAAAATGAAATCACTATAACACTGTTCAATAACAAGTTTGAAGCCATTTTATATAAACTGTATAATGTGTATATTTCAGAAATGTGTGTATTTGTTGTGGGAACAGCGCAGCAGTCAGGAGAGGAGTGCCTCAAATTTCTATTTGTTTTAATATCATTGATTTATTTTCTCCAACTACCAAACTGTTGTGCAAAGGAATTATATATATATTATAATATATATACTTGCTGTATATAAGATGCAATTTGTGATTGTTTGCAGTTGTTCTGTATAACTGTGTTTTAATAGGAGTTTAAAAAAAGAATAATAAGGATCTCTAACATGGTTTTGTTTTGGTTCTTGTGTTGTCAATTCTTGTAATCTGATAACACTCACAAGGGAACACGGGTGTTGTATAATATATAAAATAAAATCTTTATTGGATTAGCAGTAGCTACAAAACAACACAAGGCTGATATTTGGCCAACTTTACAATTTTTTTTTTTTTTTGACTGGACAATAAAAAAACAAAACAAAATACAGTAAAAGTAGCAATGAGTATTGTATTATAAGATCACTGTACAGAGGAGGGGTATTTTCAGAGCATGTACACATGGACTAGAGGACTTTTATTACATGAGCACTGTGCTGTTGGTGGTTGCTCCATCAGAAATTGATACCCGACTGTGGCCGTGGACTCTGAGGAAAGGCAGGCAGATTCGTCTGCAGCCCAGTTTACAAAGCAGCTGTATCATCTCATTGCGAAAGCGCACTCCAACAAACGCATACAAGAAAGGGTTCAGGCAACAGTGCGAGATACCCAGGCTCTTTGTCACTTCAAGCACTTGCAGCATTATTTTACTTGATTTACAGTCGTCATCCGCGATCACTCTCTGTTGTCGCAGGGTATATATGATCAAACTGACGTTATATGGCAGCCAACAGAAGCAAAACACAAGTGTGACAAGCAGTGATATTCGAATGGCTCCTTTTTTCGCTTCACTTTTCTGGCTGTTGCACAGAGCAATTACTAGTGCTGTGTAGCAGTAGCTCATGATAACCAGAGATAAGAAAAAACACAAATGATGAAAGACATTGTTGGCCAAAACCCAGTTGCTTGCGTGTGCACCGTAACTGAAGTGGTAACAGGCCAGGAACGGTATGCCTGTCGTTGAATTTTTCTGTGTCACTGAGGCAAATACGGCATTCGGTAATGCCAAACACAAACAGACGAGCCACATTATCATACAAGTTAGGTGCACTGTTCTTGGAAGGCGACTTTGCATACTGGGAATTGCATGAACAATTGCCAAATACCGATCAAATCCAATGCAAGCTAAAAGGACGCTGCCACAAAGGAGGTTCAGATTCTTCAAGAACTCATTCAGTTTGCACATAAAATCTCCAAAAATCCAGCCGGTGGCGCTGTCGGCTACATCGAAGGGAATTGTAAACAAAAGCATGAGATCAGCCAGGGCAAGATGCAGTAGGTAGATCTCTGTGATGCGGAGCTGGCGCCATCGTGTCACCAGGACTGTTATCATCAGGCCATTCCCTGCCACACCCAGGAGAAAAATCACAGTGTACAGCACAGGCAGGAACTGGCCATAAAAACTCTGCAGGACCACATCATTTTCACACGGGTCACTGAAGTTGCAGTAGTCATCGGGGAAGTTGCAGTAGTCGTCGGTGCAGTTGCAGGAGTCATAGGTCAAGTTATCAAATTCTTCAGGTCTCAGCTTGAAAACACATACAAGAGATTAATTTTAATCATCAAATCTCAAATGAAGATTCCCTGTTGTATGCAGTATATGTGATAGTGATCAGACTAATCGTTTTGTTTCAGGATGAAGTGAAATAAGACTCATTACAGGAGTGTGAACAGACTCATTTATGTAATGATCAAATACTTCTTTTTTTCCACTGCAGTTTTCTCAGTCTAATGTTTAGGCAGGAAACACTGAATAGACCAGATTGTTTTCACTTCCCTCTCATGATGACTCAGAAGGCATTTCAAGCTAAATTTGACAAATGTGATTCAACCGTGGCTAATCATATTTAAAAAAAAATATTAGCTGGTACAAACACAACTTAAATAACTAGCTGAAAGCCTTGTAGAGTGTGCGATTTCTCAGTATTTAATCAAATGTTGCTAAATATGGAAAGAAGTCTGCGGGAAAAATATCTGCAGAAAAATCATTAGAAATGCAAAATATGTGTAATAATCATAACACCGTTACACCAAAAGCCGCATCCTATTCAAATGTAATGTTAACTGTACACGTACAAATATTTTTATGATATATTACAGATGTGATTCTCCCTTTTGATGAAATGTCAGATTTTCATAAAGAAATCTTCTCTATGGTAATGATTACACATCTATTTTCTATTGCGAGTAATGTAGACTGATAAAAGGATTGTGATTGTAATAAGAAATAACATAACAACCATACAGGTTTTATTTTAACTTCAATTTCCTTTTCCCTTCAAATCTGTGTGTCATCAAATGTGTATTAATAGAAAAAATTACATCATTCTTTTCATATAGGAAGAATGTAAAACTCCCAGCTGAGCCGTAGTCACAGGCAGCAGCTACATGTTGCTCATTACATTTAAAATCTCTTGTTTTAAACTAAAACCTCAGTTTAAAACTGAAGCTGAGGTTTGGAAAATGAAGGTACAGCATTATGTTCATGTCTTATATGAGACTTTAAGCTTCATAACGATTAACAAGGAGTTACAGAATATGTGACCGGATAGGAAATAACAATAGAGCTTACGTATTCCTTTATGGTTGTGTATAAAAAAAGCAAAACAAAAAAAACGATAAAACAAATAAAAAGTTCTAAATTAAAATATTTAGACAGAATTTCCCATTATACGTGCTACTACAACAAAACTCTGCTGAAGAGTGCTGTCATACAGAATATTTGCACTAACTTTCCATTCATCTCATCATTTCTTATTTTAAGTCTTACCTCAAATGCTACAAGAGTCATTGTTGAAGCCATGCAGATAAATCTTGGCCCCTTGAATGCATGTGTCACACTGCAGTACTGAAATATGCTTGCACTTCCTCACAGTGCTGGCTGGCTCTATTCGCTATGCTAATGTCTTTTTTTTTTTGGGTTCATGGGCGTCTCTGGAAGGAAAGACACAAAAACAAATCAAAGCCTTAGTGTTATCTATCTACAGTGTTATCTATATTAATCACACAAGAGCAGGACTGCAATTCCAAGTAAGTGCACTCCTGTATTCTAGCTTTTGACCAGCACGTTGCAACTGCACTAAACTGAACAGAATTATTTCAGCACGCTTATATACATCCTTCCTCTAAATTTTTTAATGACCGTTTGGAAAGATCATCCAGCTCTGTCATTAGTACCAGATTTATGTTTAAGGTTAATATTAACAAGCAGGATGGTGACCGCAAAGGTTGAAACACCTTGCTATAAAAGCTACTTACAGCTTCAGCATCACCTTAACCGCAAATATCAACAGGAAATGTGATTGTTTTTTTGTTTTTTTATTTAAAGTAGTCACAATCTCACACTTGAGACAGGGTTTTACAACCAAGGCTCACAGACAGAAGCATACAAGGCAGACTGCACACTCAGTTCAAAGCAGCAGCCCCTGAATGAATGTGCTTCAGCCTTTTAAAGACACAAGTGTGCCCAATCAGTTGTTGATTGGTCTGGCGTCCCTCGGCTGGTCCTTTAGATTTTCCCTGGAGGTGCAAACGACAGGTTCACAGGCAGTGAATTGTCTGTGGCGGTTGCCACACCTGAATCTGCTTGAAGGAAGGCTGGCTCACTTCTTCCAGGGCCAGGGGCCATAACAAGCAGGATGCTGACTGCACAGGTTGAAACACCTTGCCATGAAAGCGACTTACAGCTTCAGCATCACCTTAACCACAAATATCAACAGGAAATGTGATTGGTTCCCCTTTTTTTTGTCTACTTTAAATTAAAAAAAATAAATAATCTGTGGGTTAATCAAATAAGGCTATTTCATTAAAGGTATTTAACGATGTAAACATAAAATACTATAAAAGAAAACTAATAGTAAACCATATATCTTTGATAGAGACACATATTGTTCTTAGAAAGATAACAAACCCTGTTTAATCTACTTCAGTCGTCTTTTAGTTTAGACTCTACACAAGATTATTTTTCAAATTTTATCATCTCTTTTGATAGAAAGGAAGTGGGGGTGGGGGCCACGGACATGGTTTCTGTGGTAAATCCGAATGTGGAAGTATAGTGCATACATGCCTAACAGCTGACAGGATGCTTCTCCACACAAGTGATCAAAGTC